TTTTTTTATGATACACGCCACTGATATATGTATAGGTATACAATTTGCAGGGTTTATTTTAATGAATAACTAATTTTTCTGATTTTTTTTAATAGAAGTTGGTATTTTTTAAAATTTTTTGGTTGCCATTGGTTAATCGGGCAGTTCAGGTTTAAGAATGCATCAAATCGAATTTTACTACATTGCTTAACAAGGTGGCTGTCGGCTGAGTTACACCTATTGCCGCTCATCGGCATGTACACAATCAAAATAATTAATACAATTAAAATTAAATATATTATTCATATTATAGAGTGTGCACCTAGCGGGATACGCAATCCACCGCAAGTAGATGGACTACCTGATAATGTACTGTTTACATTATCACAAGCGAGTCTCATATAGAGTTGGAATTTTTAAAGGACAACGAAGTGAAAGGGATCATTAATAATAGGATATAATAATAATAAAATACATCTTTGTTTAGACACGAAACTACGACAATTAATTTGTCTACTGACGATCACGACTGCAACCGCTATATTTATGATGTAAGAGTATTTGCCGAAATTATAAACATCTAACTAACATAACATTTTTATTAAGTTATGAGTTGTATGGAAAACACCAAATAGCTCAATTATACAAATTGTGTTATCGAAAAATAATAATACTTTTCTTCTCGATGTGCGATAAACGTGTTTAACTATACAAATTATAATTATAACTATACAATCATTTTTAATAACAATATGTGTATTGTGTATACTGTATAGAACCATTAGAAACATTTGTAAATATTATTATTATTTTATTTTTTTTGTTTTATTTATAATTCAACTACTATATAGTAATTGATAGCATTAAGTTTTAAAAATTTTTTCGTCTTTAAAACACAAGGATGTGAATACACGGGCAAAGCCGGGTAATTCAGCTAGGTAATTAAACAAAAAAAAAATTAATTAATTATTTATTTATTTTTATACAGTTATAGGTACTTAACGAATTATTTTTCAATTGAACTAATAAAATCTAAGATATCTGTATACATATAGGAGACCACCACTATTCACTCATCAATGCCCAGACCTAACTGCTGGGTCTAGAGACTTGACATTTTGTACAGAGGTTCCTTTAGCAATTTAGGGGCTCACTAATAAGGGATTTTTCAAAATTCGACCTCTAAAGAGGTAAAATTGGTTTTTTTATATAGATATGTATAATACACGGGCAACGTCGTGACGGGACAGCTAGATATGTGTACATAAATTAATTTTAATTGTCACATCCGCGGCCAATATTCCATATCGCATGGTCAAACACAGTTGTTGTGGAATTTCAGCATTTATATTTTTCAACGCTTTAAAAATACACTGTGAGTTCCGAGCCTAATGCTA